CTTTGAGTCCACAAGTCTTAAAGTTCCATGGCTGGACACGCTGGTAGAGGGGCTCCTGCTTGAGCAGAGGGATGGACTAGAAGACCTCCAAGATCCCTTCCAACTCCGTGAGTCTGTATTCTCCCTCCCGCCTCCTTTTGCTGGCTGGAAGAATAACAGAGTTGGAAGGGAAGGGTTGAAGTCTTCTAGTCCAACCTCCTGCTCAAGCGGGAAATTTCAGACAAACGGCTGTCCAGTCTCTTCTGGAAAACCTCCAATATTGGAGCACCCATAATTTCTGGAGGGGAAGCTGTTCCACTGATTGCTCTCATTGTCAGGAAATTTCTCCTTACAAGTATACATACGTATGTTTATGAGAACAGCATTTAGAATTTGGCTTCCATAATTCTGAATTTTCCTTCCGGATGCTTAGGAGCTCTTTCTTTTTTTCAAACTGCTCTTACTTTTCTTTAACGTGACCTCCCCCGTGTCTCCTGCAGTCAGGCAGCCTCTGAATTATATTCAATTAATACATCGTTGTTGTTGTTTGGCCAGCCGCCTGTGAATGTTACTTCCGTTTGGGGTGACTAATGGCCCGTTATAAACAGATCCTGCCGGTGGTTTTAGTTCCTCCCACACATGACTCTGATCAGGAGGCATCTAAGAGAGGTTGAGGTAAGTCCCCAAGGAGTTCATATCTGAGCAAGAAAGATCTTGCGCAAAAGAAACGAAAGAAAATGTCCAGGACCTCCTGCCTGAGCAGGGGGTTGGGCTCCAAGGTCCCTTCCGACTCTGTTATTCTGTCTCCAAACTAAGTTTTCACTGGGCAACAATGGAATGATAATGCCACTGTTACATAAATGACAAATGAGGATAATGATTCAAAGATATATATCAGGTTGGTAATATGAGAAATTAGATAATTAGTAAAATATGAATAAGGGGAAGAAGCACAAGGGATTTGTAACTGACCGACACACTGTTTGAAATTGTAATGGATGAAGGATGTTTAATGTTTTGTTTGTTTAAAAAATGCAAAAAAATTCAAAAAAAGAAAAGAAAAGAAAGAAAGAGCAATTTTTACCAGCTCTCAAGGATCTCACTATCTATTTGTAGCCTTTCTGGCTTTGCCAGTGGATTCTTCTATTATTATTATTATTATATACACAAAAATGACAGTATACACAGCAAACGAGATAACCATGCTGGATTTCGTATCACAAATCACTAGTCGAACACTTCCCAAGCGTTGTTTATTACTATTACTATTACTATTACTATTACTATTACTATTACTATTACTATTACTATTACTATTACTATTACTATTACTATTACTATTAAAATACCAGCAATAGTAACAACAACAGCAGCCATGGAAGAGCTACAAGGGTGTCACCCACCTGTGTTATCTCTTCTTGCCAGAAGCTTTAATAGAGTTGGAAGGGACCTTAGAGGTCTTCTAGTCCAACCCCCCCTTCTCAAGCAGGGGACCCTCTACCATTTCAAACAAATGGCTGTCCAGTCTCCAGGGATGGAGCCCCCGCAACTTCTGGTGGCAACTTCTGTTCCACTGGTTCCTTGACCCAAAGTACCTCTTTCCAAGCCCAGCCCAAAGTACCTCTGTTTCGAAGGCTCTGGTCTTTGCGAGGGCAACAGGAATCCTGCAAGGAGGTCACGCTTTTTGATCCTGATGGGTGGATTTTAGGGACCGCCAGAAACAAGGATCCCACCAGGCATTGTATCATCCCCAAAGGTGCCGATCTTCTCCCTTTCCCTCGCTTGCCAAGACCGCCGGAGCTTCTCCACGGTTCCTTCAACCTCTCTGCAGCCTGCCTCGCGTTGTCAGAACTGTGACCAGGGTTAAAAAAAACACTAACCATCTTCTACACCCGGATGAGGCAGGCTTTCGCCCCACCTCTATGATGTTGAAATGGCTGTGTAGAATTAAAACCAGGGGACGTTTCCAAATATTTGCTGGCTGCCCCAAGAAAGGGTTGACAGCTGCTAACGCAGCCCATATAATACACTCGCATCTCATCCTGCCAACGGGCTTGTTGGACAACATTTCAAGTCAGCAAAAGTCATTTTCAAGTCAACAGATTTTGACCCACAAAGGTGGGGAGACCCCTAATCTCGGCCCCCAGGAGTGGTCTTGCCAAAACAGGAATGGTCAGCTTCTTCTGGTGGCCCTGCAAAGAGAGAGGCCACCTTCTACCAGGGTCTCAGGAGAGGTTGCGCAATTGGACACAACTTTGAAGCTATCCATCCAATTCTCAGTTTTAGTCACAGCTGCCTGAATTTTGCTTTCCATTTCTGCCACTTCTCTCCGACACAGAGACCAGCAAATTATGGGGTGATTTAGAGACAGGTTTAGCCATCTTAGCGGTAGGAATAAATACAAAGCTGACCAGGATGTAACTAGGTTTGTGCCTGTTTAATCAGTTGATCAGACTGAAACCAAGCTTGATTCAGAAGCGAGACAAAGGTGGGAGCTCATATTGACCAGTGTCAGAAGAATAATTTGGGGTTGAAATCTAGGCAGCTGTAAGGAAATACTTATTCCCAAAAGCAAAGAGCTTTCCTATAGGGGCAGCTACAGAGAAAAGGTACAGCAAGCTTGTTTTATAGGGGAGCTGCTTGTCCTGGATGTGGAATTGCGCATATGTTGATTCTAGGGTGACACTGGAGGGGTATAAACACATATCATCTATGATGAAAATCATTTGTCTGAGATGATATAGGCATGGGTTGGACTAGAAGACCTCCAAGGTCCCTTCTAACTCTGTTATTCTATTCTATTCTATTCTATTCTATTCTATTCTATTCTATTCTATTCTATTCTACTCTACTCTACTCTACTCTACTCTACTCTACTCTACTCTACTCTTTGTTTATTCTTGGGAACATGCAGCTCGGCTGGGAGACCATTTTAATTTATTTGTGTTTACAGACCTTCTTTGATATGTGGATTAGATCTGAGTAACCTATTTGGGGATGCAAGGAACTTTGAGTAAAAGATTTTCCCCCCATTTGCTATTTTGACTTGATTAACCTAGTTTCAGCTTGATTGTCAATTTCCTAGCGGAAACGCTGATTCTCAGTCCATTGCGGATTCTGCTAACGTTTAAGGGAAGATGGAAACAGTGCAAAGAATAAAATATATTTGGATATAAAACTTCCCACACCAGGTTGGCCTCTGATGTCTCCAGTTTATTGAATGAACCACAGGGGCTACGTTTCCACAAATAGAAAGCTAAAACATTTGAAGAGGTGTGGACTTTGATTCCCAGGATTCCCCAGCCAGCAATTCATCAGGCATGCTGGCTAAGGTAACACTGGGAGTTGAAGTCCAGGCCTCTTAAGATGGCCAAGATTGTGAAATGCTGATTTATAGACTGTTGGGCGAGCAAACTGGACACCCTTTGTACGTGCAAGGTTTGGAGAGATCGAGATTACAGCTACAATGCCAGGGGATGTCAGGGGATTTTAGGAATATCCAGGAGCACCAGGGTTATGGGGTGGGTTGTTTCTGAGGAAAAAGGCAACCGACTTGATAAACAGCTCCAGAAATGGAATGCACCATTTTCTCAGTCCCAACGGGCTAATCCTGAGCCAGAACTGAACAAAAACTATTTCAATTAGCAGCCTCTCCTTTTTCTTCTTCCAGTCTTTTTCCTCTCTCAAAGATAAGAGAAACAAAAGGAAAAACAAAGCTGAGTGTTGCAATGGGGATTTGTATTTAGGTCAGTGTTACTCAACCTTGGCAGCTTGAAGGCGTGTGGACTTCAATTCCCAGAATTCCCCAGCCAGCTCTGCTGGGAGTTGAAGTCCACAGACTTTCAAGCAGCCAAGGTTGAGTAACGCTGCTTTAGATATTCATGGAATGGATCCAACGGTGACCAAGGATCACAGCCAAAAGATACATTCATAGACCAAATCAGGTCAAAGAAAATTATGAATAAAAAAAAAAAATCCCCCGTTGGAAAGATGCTCGGGGAGAACCAAAACAGCCCAGGTTGTGGGTTGTCTAAGAAGTGTGGAGTTGTGTTAGGAAGGGCATACAATGGAATCTGTGTTTGTCATTAGCTCAAATGCAGTGAGGATTTGAGGATCAGGGCTCTTCCGGGCACCAGAGTTTCTGTTACACCAAATTTACAATGTGGGAAGCAGCAAGATTTGGGGGGCTGAGTAGTTATGGGGTCGAAGGTACCACAGGCTATATTTTAATTTTGGCTGCTTATTTTTAGATTGCCACTGAATTTAAGAGCAAGCAAGCACCTAGATAGATTCCCCACCCCCACCCCGAGGACCACAGCATAGGAGAACACAAATAAAAAAACATGTTTTTTGTTCTTAAGTACAAATCCTTGATTTATGACGATAACTGAGCCCAATGTTTCTGTGGCTGAGACAGACATTTGTTAAGGGAGCTTTGCTTCATTTTGTGATCTTTCTGGTCACAGTTCTTTAAGTGAATTGCAAGTGTTATTGTAAATGACTCACTAACTCAAGAATCACAGTTGTTAAGTTAGTAACACGGTTGCTAAGTGAATCCGGCTTTCCCGTTGACTTTGCCCATCAGAAGGTCGCAGAAGGGGATCATGTGACAGGACATGGCAACCGTCATAAATGTGAATCATTTGCCAAGCTTCTGAATTTTGATCACGTGACCACAGGGATGCTGCAAGGGTTGTGAGTGTGAAAAACGGAGATAAATTACCTTTTTCAGTGCTGTTGTAACTCTGAATGGTCACTAAGTGAACTGTTGTAAGCAGAGGACTACCTGTAATGTGTTTTTGGGTTGCAATGAGAGAGATTGTTCTGAAAGGAGAGGCTCCCCAACTCTTTAACTCTGGAGAGAGACCCGTTTGGAAGACAGAGAGGATGAAAGAATGACAGCCACGATTCATGTGACCACGTGAATGTAGCTGCTTTACAGAGAACATCAAAGAGGAGGCTTGAAAGAAACCAGGATCAGAGCCGGTGCTGAGAACAAACCACGCAGGAGGAAACAAAGGGGCCTTCAAAAGCAACCTCATTATTTGCCTCACAAGCTAATTGGGGTACAAAGCTCTGTGTGTGTGTGTGTGTGTTGCACAGGTAATAAAAGATGCAAAGAAAAGAAGAGAATCAAAAAGCGGATACCAACTCCCGATAGCCAACAGGCAGAGGCTACATGTTGAAAACAAGAAGAAAGAAATGGTGAAAGAATAACAGAGTGGGAAGGGACCTTGAGGTCTTCTAGTCCAACCCCTTGCTCGGGCAGGAGATCCTCTACCATTCCACACAAATGGCTGTCCCAATCTCTTCTTTAAAACTTCCAGTGATGGAGCATTCACAACTTCTGGAGGCAAGTTGTTCCACTGGTTAATTGTTCTAACTGTCAGGAAATTCCTCCTTAGTTCCAGATTGCTTCTCTCCTTGATGAGTTTCCATCTGTTGCTTCTTGTCCTGCCTTCTGGTCCTTTGGAGAACAGGTGGACCCCACCCCCGCCTCTTCTCTGTGGAAGCCCCTTAGATATTGGAAGGCTGCTACCAAGTCACCCTTAGTCCTTTTCTTTGTTAGACTAGACATACCCAGTTCCTACAACCATTCTTCGTATGTTTTAACCTCCAGCCCCCTAATCATCTTCGTTGCTCTTCTCTGCACTCTTTCCAGGGTCTTAGCATCCTTTTAACATCATGGCAGTGATCATCCCGAGATGGCCTGCGAGGGTCCACACGGCACTCCGGGGTCCAGAAGCAAAACGAGGCGGAGAAGCAGCCCAGGGGCTGACCTGTCCCAGGAGCATCTCATGTGACATCGGTCGCCTTGAGGAGAGACCCAAATCTTGCGCACGGGACATTACATGCCTGACCAGACAAGATCTTGGCCTCTCTTGAGGAGGACAGTCCCTATCCTCCATGTCTCCAAAGTTTTCCACTCTGAGATTGTATATCTGAAAGATTGCAAGGAATGGCTATAACGAGGCAAATTCTACAGATGCCGAGAGATGTTTGATGGGACACACTGGGCAAGACGGCTTCCGTCCAAAACCTTTCCAAGGTCTACACAATGTCATGCTTTGTCTTCTTGTGTTGGAGGACAAGTTCAGGGCTTCAGGTGTGGGGCTGAGGGATTGCTGTAGCTGAACAACTGGAAGGGTGAAATGTAGACTCTGCAAGGACCACGAAGCAGAAATGCAAACTCTTCCCAAAAGGACCTTCCTCGGCCAGCATCAGGGGCTCCTAGCAGGAAGTCCAAGGAGATCCTTCAACGAGCCACTTCCAGGAATGGCACCTTCTTCAGATTTGGTCTGGAGCGGATTCCACGTCAGCTGTCTGTGGCGGAAGAAGGGGGCTGGCCCCCAGGCTCTTTCCTTCATTATGGAAGCCCCTGCGCATCACAGCTGCCAGGTATCTGAAGAGACCCTTGGGAACGGGGGGGGGGGGGGGATTAAAGAGAAGGCAATTTTTTTATAACTCTAAGTGTAATTCAGCCAGTCCTCGACTTATGACCAGAATTGATTATTGGTGTTCTCTGAACTTAGTTGCTTCCTTGCAAATGTTTCATAACCCAACTAGGTAACATCATCAGTGCTACAAGGGAGTGGGGTTTGTGGACAGGAGGAGGAGGAGGACTGTGGGGTCCTTGGTGGTCTCTGAACTAGGTGGTTTGCTTGCAGAGGTTTCATAACCCAACTAACTAACATCATTAGTGAATGTGGGGTTTGTGTCCTGTTTATATACAGTCACTGTGAGCTCTGCCAGTTTTGATGGAATACGGTTTTCTTCTTGGTAATTAGGATACTTTCTGCTTGATAATCCCTGCTTACCTCCCAAATTCTCCTTACCTCCCAGGCCTTCTCAACTTCCAGAGTCCAATCTTCTTTGAGAATTGGCCGAACAGCCTGGATGAACTGAACTCCAATGTACTGAGAAAAAAAAAGAAAAGAAAAATATAAAAAGCCAAAGAAACAACCGTAATTTGGGGAAAGAAAGACCGAGAAGTGGATTACCTGCTGTGAATTACTAGCAGCTTTTATAGCCATTGGATTGCTTTAAAATATATGTGTTACAGACCACAGACATTTGAAGAGATACAGTCCTGGTTCTACAATAACATCTGAGAAAAGAGGATAAAATTTTATGGTGCAATTCCCTTGCCTCACACCATGAATTTTACAAGGGTTTAGGCTTGGTCATTTTTCATTTGTCTTCTTCCCTGGTGTTTATGTTTCATTTTTTTTTCTTTCTTAGCAAGACCAATCAGGCAAAAAACAAAATCCAAAGAAACCAAAAAGCAACACATCTGCATGTTTTAATGGAGGACAGGTAGAGACACCCCACCTGCAATGCACTGAGTGAACCAGGCGATCTTGGCAGGAGACCAGCCAAGCATTTAGAAGAAGCAACAGCACTACTCACAAGGGAATATTGCTGCCCTTCCATAGGTAGGACAAGGAGAGGAGGGACCTGGGGGCAGAGTTAGAAGTTGGAAGGGACCTTGTAGGTCATCTAGTCCAGCGGTCACCAACTGGTGGTCCGTGAGAAAATTTTGGTGGTCCACAGAAAAATTATTTGCATATTTTTTATATTGCACTTAATCAGGGGTCCTCAAACTACGGTCCTTTGGAAAATCGCTATCCTGTCTCCCCTGGTCCTTCACTTCCCTAGACTAGCCATGCCCAGTTCCTGCAACCGTTCATCGTAAGTTTTAGCCTCCAGTCCCCTAATCTTGTCGTAGGACAGCTCGCTGTGGGGCAAGAGTTACACTAATATCAAAGAAATGGTGGAATAGAATCATTAAAGAAAGGATGAAAAAGGAGGGACGGAATGAAATGTGAATGGCAAAAATTAAAATAATTCTTTCTTCATTTTAAATAATTTACGGTAAATAGAATTGTTAAATTTCCTGCAGTGAGTTGGCCGCAGAAAGTTGGCTGCGCTCCCTGTGTCCTTCCTCTCACCTCGTAGTAGTTGGGGGGAGCTCTATAATGGAAGTGGTTCTTTCCCAGCTCAAAGGCCAGGAGCTCCAGTTTGTCTTCTTGATCCAGCCGGGCCACGCTCTTCTCAACGAAGGACATCACTCTGGGGAGGGCGAGAGAAGAGAGGAGACCTCTTGGCGGAGAGGCGTCCATCCTCCGTGGGACGCGAGGCCCCCATTCCTAGGAAATCTATCGAAGACCCACAGCAAAGTTCTGGGCAGGGCAGAAGTTCGGATTCAGCCTTGCATAAGAAGGGAGAAGGGAGGAATTCTCCAAATTATGGGAAATGTCTAGGAAAGCAAAAGAATGCAGCTCTTTCTTCCCATCCATGGGGTGGGGTGGCTTGGGGGGGAAACGGCTGGAGGAGAGGGACTTGGAGGTCCCAAAACAGTGAGGTAATCCTTTCAGAGTCTAGACTTGTGCTTCTCAATCTTGGAAGCTTGAAGAGGGGTGGACTTCAACTCCCAGAATTCCCCAGCCAGCAAAGCTGGCAAACTCCCAGCAAACTCCCAGAATTCTGGGAGTTGAAGTCCACCCCTCTTCAAGCTGCCAAGATTGAGAAGCACTGGCCTAGATATGCTAATTTCTTAGCTGGCCTTCAAGGTTTATTGTAATCTCCTCCAGAACCCATAAAGATCAAGAGATAAAACCAAGATGATAATGCAGGCCACATGTACCCTTCCTCTCCAAAAAACGGGGAAGATCGTGTTGCAGCGGCCAAATGTCAAGCCCATGGGGAAGATAAAAGCCAGAAAAATAAAAAAAGAGATTTCCCCCCACCCCCAATCCTCTGCCAAAAAGCACCAAAACCGCCCAACTGCATGCCAGCTGGGGAATTCTGGGAGTTAAATTCCATGTATCGTAAAAGTTTATTAACATGTTAGTTAGGGAATTCTGGGAGTTGAAGTCCACCCAACTTAAAAGTTCATTAGCATCCTGGCTGGGGAATTCTGGGAGTTGAAGTCCACCCATTGTAAATATTTATTAAAATGCTGGCTGGGGAGTTCTGGGACTTGAAGTCCACAGGTCCATAAGTCCCTGCTTTATGTCATTCTGGACAAATGGCTGTCCAGTCTCTTCTTGAAAACCTCCAGTGATGGAACACCCATAACTTCTGAAGGCAAGCTGTTCCACTGGTTAATTGTCCTCCTTGTCAGGAAATTTCTCCTTATTCCTGGGTCATGGAAGGATGCAAATGCCCTCGTGTTCCCCACGGCACAACGAAGGATCCAAGCATCGCCTGAGAACCATCTCTAAAGGGTACGATGGACTCTCAGTCCAGGTGACCCTGCCGTTTGGATGGAGGAGACCCAGAATCCTGGCCCAAAGAGGACCCCCAGACCCACCTGAGGCCATGAGCTTGCAGTTCCTTACTCATCTTCAGCTGCTGCAGATCGTCCACATCACGGAAGAGGAAAAAGACGTCTTTACACTCTGGGTGGGTCTCAAAGAGTCTGGAGAAGAAACAGGAGACAGTCCAGAGAGTGAGTTCCTTGGGAGGCCTTTGGGGAAATGGGGTCTTCTCTTTCTCTGAACTCTAATGGACTGTCAGGTCCCCAAAAGACAGGAGGAGGAGGAGGAGGTGGTACAGTCTAGGCAACAGTCAGAGAAGAGTCCGCTCAGCCCACAGAAGGAAAAGGGGCCTGGCAAACATCTCAGAGGACACCCCCCCCCACAGTCTCTGGGACTGTAAAGGTGAGGGGGGGGGAGAAACATGTACAGGAAGTCCTCGACTTACCACCACAATTGAATGTTTGAATGTTTTCTTTGTAAGCCGTCCTGAGTCCTTCGGGAGAAGGGCGGCATATAAATTACATAAATAAATAAATAAATAAATAAATTGAGCCCAAAATTTCAGTTGCTAAATGAGACTGTGTACGTTTTGCCCCATTTTACAACCTTTCTTGCCATAGTTGTTAAGTGAGTCACTGCAATGGTTAAATTAGTCACACGTTTGTTAAGTGAATCTGGTTTCCCCATTGACTTTGCTTGTCAGAAGATCACAAAAGGGGGAATCACGTGATCCCAGTGTACCGTCATAAATATAAGTCAGTTGCCAAGCATCTGAATTTTGATTACCTGGCCATGGGGATGCTGCAAAGGTCATAACTGTGAAAAAGCCACTAGTATTTATATACTATAAATAGTATATAAATGTAAATAAGTATATAAACTAGTATTTGTATATCATAAATAGAAAATAAATATAAATAAGTATATAAACTAGTATTTATATACTACAAATACTATCTTTATTGCAAGGTTACATTAACAGAACCTTGCAGTGAGGGGTCCTTGGTGTTCTCTGACCTTGATTGTTTTCTTGCATGCATTTCATTGCCCAAACAAGGTTAAATCATCATTGCTAAATATTCTCCTTTATTAGCAACTTGCAAGCCTGAAAGTTGATTTCTTTCCCGCCCCCCTTGCCCCGACCATTGCAGTGCCAGAGAGTGGGGAGGGTCCCTTCTGAGATGTTTGCCAGGCCCCTTTTTCTCCTGAGGGCTGAGGGGTCTCTTATCTGACCATTGCTTATTCTGCAGTTCCTCTTCCTCCTGCCTCTCTTCTCCCAGACCAGACAGCCCACCCCCATGTTCAGAGGCGTTTTGAACCCCTTTTCTTTCCCCTCCTATCTTTGAGGCTCTGTCCCCTCCCCCCCTTCCCTCCTTCCCCCCTGGTTTTATGGCATCTTCTTTGGCTAAAAAGAAAGGGGAGGGGGATAAACACAAGAATTGTTCAAGGAATGTTTATCCTGGCCTTTGTCATCGTGATCCCAGGATGTTTAAAACTCTCTTCAAACAAAAGCCAACACAATCTGTAAAAGCCATCTGAAAAGCACGTGTTAAAACAGCAGCGCAAACCCAGCCAAGCTGGAAATGGCTCCCTGGAGACTGAAGTGCCCGTCAGATCCCCAAGAAAGTTCGAGATTGCTTGGCCCTAAAATCTACTGGTCCTTTCATTTGTTAGTTTTTGATGCCAGGCGGGCTTCTGCGGCAGGTTGCACCCCCAAGATTTCAAATCTCAGTTCCCATCTTCCACCAGCCATCCTGGTAAGGGTTAAGTCGGGAAGAGAAGAGGAGAGGAGGGAAGGGAAGGGAAGAGAAACAGATTGGAAAGGAACAGAATATGAATAAATGAAAAATAATGGAATGGAATAGAATAAAATGCAGGAGAGAAGAGAAGAGAAGAGAAGAGAAGAGAAGAGAAGAGAAGAGAAG